CTGACCTTTCCCTGGCCTCCACAGCCAGCTGTCTGTTGTCCTCTGACTCAGTCTCTAGCTGTACATCCTCCAGCAGACTCCGTCCTGACATCACTTCCTGTTTGATCCGTACACTCTGTTCCGTGTCCTCTGACCCCGTCTCCACGAGCCCCGCCTCCTCTGGATCAAGACCCTCAGCCCTCAGAGCGGCGGGGATGTTACTCAGGGACTGACCACAAAAAGAACAAAGGTATGACATACCACATCAAAACATTACAATAGACTAACAAAAAAAGAACAAAAAACATACTACACTTAATGTCAAAACATTACAATCTTCCACAATCAATTCACAAGTCACTTAATAAATCATTTTTCTTCTTGTACCTTTTCATTTCTTTTCGTTAATGATTCACAAAAAATTTCATATTTGTAAACATGATATAGTTTCTTTAAAGGTTTTATTTTTGTTTATACATAACTTAAACTTTAAAAAGATTTTTAAATATTCATTATTTACACCTAAAATACTTGCTACTGGTAATTCTTTGTATAGATTTTTAATGCAAACATAATATATTCAAAACTTTTAACATGGAAAATCAGTGATTCAATACAGAATAAAACATGATATACCCTACACCACAAAAATAACATGCAAAAAATGTTTCTTCCCACCCCTCCATAAAACAGACACACTCGCCTATAAAGCACATCTATGTCTGAATCCAACCACCAACCTTAAAGACAAGTTGTTGTTTAATGTTGTTCAGTATAGGAACACTTTCCCCATCTTGTGAATTTCCTCCATCTGAGCTGGAATCAAGGACGTATCCCTCTTTCTGCTTTCTCACAGAGGTTCTGTCCCTCTCTTTCTTGGTTCTCAACTTCTTCTTAGAAGGAGACAAGCATCTGGCTTCCTCTAGTGCTGTTTGCTTTTCTTCCCGACCGTGACGTATTTGTTGGTTTGTGGCCGTTAACGGACTGGTGTCCAGATCGAGGTTCTGGAGTCTGGACTTGACCGTCCTGACTGGTGTACAGCTGTCGCTCAGCAGCGCGGGGTCTTCCTGTAAAGTCCTATCACTCCGCCCGCTGTCAGAGTCTGTGTTCACCACTACCACATTGTCCTCCGACTGTTTACTGCCTTTTTTGTTCATATTTGCATACTGCCTGATTTGTTCACCCAGGGAGCAGTTACTGTTCACACTTTCGTAGTTTGAGTCACTCAAATGTCCACTCCTGAGGTTCCTAGTTTTACCCTGCCCCCCTCCTCTGTGGTCCTTCTGTCTCTGACCATCCCCCGGGGGAGAGGTTGGTCCCCCTGTTTCCTTGTCCTCTGGCCTTCCTCCTTTGATGAGGGACTGGATATGCTGGTACACATCAGTGTCCTTGTCCAGCACCATGTAGGAGGGACCTTGACCTTTGCTGCTACCTTGACCTTTTCCCAGTTGAGTGAGAAATGCCTTGTTGTCCACGCCCAGGGTTCCCACGTACTGCATGTTGAACTTCTTCGCCTCGTTCTCGTCGCTCTCTCCTCTCCTCTGGCTGTCGTCAGAACGCTGAGAATCCTGTCTCCGGCGTCTCATTAAGTTCGCCAGAGGCTCGTCATCCGAGTCTACCTCCTCCTTCAGATTAGACGTTTTAATTAAAGAGTTCAGAGTGATAAATCCCGCTTCATTAAGCTCTGTACTCTGGGTTATATCTGAGCTGTTCCTACGGTCACCACTTTCTGTTGTTTTGTTCACCGGGGTCCTGGTTGACTTTACAGGTTTGGGGGGAAGGGAGTGGGTGATTCTATCAGAAGCACTGACTTCGCTCTCCTTCCTACTTCCCTGTGGCTGGTCTTGGTTTCTGTCTATCGCAGATTTCTGTTTACTGCCCTCCGTGTTTAATGATTTGTCTTTGATTGCAGTTCCTCCGACAGTTCCCTGAGTTGAGGTGACCTGATTGTCTTCTTCAGGCTCCTTTTTAATAGAAGCCAAATCTCTACATAAACTGTGTTCTAATTTGTTCTCAGCCTCCATGGAAATAGTTTCCTGTTGCAGACTTGAGGACAAATTTCTCAACTGAGAAAAAATGGAGTCTGAAGCGTGGGAATTAGGGTTAGCAAGAACCGAGGAATTAGAAGTGCCAAACGATGAAGCATAAACCTGTCTATCACGCTCCGGTTCTAGACGCTGGTTACGATTCAAAACATTCAACAAAGTACTTGTGTGAGGGTCATTGTACGATGATACCTGAGGGTCCAGGTGAGGGTCAGGGTCATTAGAGGACGGACCGGGGGTCAGGGCCTTCCCACTCTCCTCCAGGGCTGGCCCCCTGATCTGATCTTCCAGTTCCGAAAGCTGAGGGGTGGAACGACCTGACCGTTGCTGGATTTTGGCCTCTACAATATCAAGTTATTGAAGTTAAGCAGCTAAGAAACAAAGCAACATACAAATAGAAAGACTGCTCACGATAAAATAAACGCAAAGCTCACCATGGAGAATTCTCAGTCTCTTCCCTCGAAGTTTTTCCTCTTCACTTTGTAACTGTAACAAATACCAATAGGATAAGTAATTTTAATGATTTTAAAGTGCATAGATTGATAATGGTAATCTCTTATATGAGAAATAAATTTTAGCAATGTCTAAATTTAGTTATCTTTAATAACACCCTCAATAAAATGCCAAAATTGAATCCTTGCTAAAATTTCTGCATATTCAGTACATAAGTTCTGTAATGCTGAAAGAAAACTGTCATAATCAAATTGTATCATTTCTAAGAAATATTAAAAAAAATATTCTGAAATTAAACAGATATTCCATTTCTCTGCAGCTACATGTATATGATATAACACACCCGTAGTTTTTTCTCATTGTATCTGTTGAGCTGTACTGTGGCTTCATCAATCACGTTTCTAAAGTAAGTTATAAACTTTTCCACTTCGTTCAAGTCTTTCCTCAGTGATTCCTCCTTAATGCTAATATCATAAACTGTGTCAAAGATACTCTCCGTGGATCTACCACTCTCCAGTGAGGACAATGATCCTTAAAAAATCAAATGACATTTTTGTTTTCGATTATTGAAAGTGAATTATTTCCCTTAAACTTTCTGTTACTGCTAAATAAAAATATATGCATAAAGATTGAAATCTCAATAAGATTCTTGAATGAAATTAAATCTTATATGTTACCTTTGATTCACATTAAATGATTCAAAATAAACAGTATAAATCAAATAATATTTCTGAAAACCATAAAATTAACACAAACATGATTCTTTCTACATTACACAGTGTACAGTTTTGATAAGAACAATAATAAGATATTACACCTGACAATGTAGGAAGAGAAGCTCCCATTTGTGTGGATGACCTCAGGGGAAAGTGTTCCGAGGACTGAGGCATTCTGGGAGATGGATCAGCAGTAGGTGTGGGCAGTGTTTTACTGGTCTCCCCCAGACTGGTGGTCGACGTCACAAGGCTCGATGCGTTGTCTGGACTGGTAGATCCCTGGGCTGATTTCTCGTGACCTGTATCCATGGGTTCACTCTTCACAATAACAGCAGAATTAGAAGAAAGGTCACTCATTTTCAGTGGCTGTGCAGAATTGGAGTCTATATCTCTCCTGTTTGTTGGTTGTAATTTGTCGGAGTCTGTAGATATGGTTCCTGGCCTTTCTTTTGAGCCACCCTGTAAGGCTCTGTCTAATTCCTGGAACTGGTCTAATGCTGAGACATAAAATGAGCCGGGTCTGGAGGAAGTATCGGACTTACCAGCTTCAGACGTCTCCCTAGTTTTCTTTCCAGACCCTTTACCAGAACTTGACATCAATGCCTTCTCCAGATCATTTAAGTCTGGTGTGACATCTGCCTCCATTAGCTGTGCAATCTGAATCTGCACCTCGGGGGACAATTCTTCTAATCTCAATTCCTCCATTTTATCATCAAAATTATCATCATAACTCCCAGAGAGCTGAAGATTGTATCGAGGAAGGGAAAGTTTCTTCTGTGACTGAGCGTAAGATCGTAACATTCCAGCCAACTGCTGTCTCTCTTTCCTGGATCTCGGTGAATTCACCATTTTTAACAAAGAGTCAGTGGTTGGTTTTTCTTTAGATTTACCACTACTTCCTGTTTTATCCAATGTCTTACTTGTTTTTTGACTGTCGGGTTTTGCAGATGCTTCCTTCTTATTTGAGTGTCCTACTGATGCTTCTGGAATGACAGATTCTGGTTGGGATTTATTTGTTGGACTATTCTTCTCTGACTTACTCTCTGTCCTAGTAGAATTCAGCAGTTTCTGTGTCTCACTAATACACTGAACACTCTTCTCAATGTTCTGTCTTATTTTGTCAATATCTTTATTACACTGACTTAACTTTGAAATGTTTCCACTTTTGATTTCTTTCTCTGTTCTTTCCTTAGCACTAGAATCAACAGTTTCTGTTGGCCTGATTTCTTCAGAAGGAATATGTCCTTTCACATACTCCTTACTTTTATCTGATAAGGTCTTTAATTCTTGGTTGATGTTTTCTAATTTTTCCATCTGTTCCATTTTCATTTTCTTTTCTCTCTCTAGCTTTGCTTTCTCCCTCTTCTCCCGTAGTTCTCTACACAGTTTTTCTGCCTTTTCTAACACCCCCTCTCCCCCCTTCTCCTCCCGACCTTTCTTGCCTGACCTCTTGGGTGAGCCAGGTGGAGATCCCTTGTCCCCGTTCTTCTTCTTTTTCTTCAGTATACTTTTCTTCTTCTCCTTCTTCTCTCCTTTCTTTCCACTTGAGCCGCTGGACAGTTCTTCCTTGTCTCCACTACTGGTCACACTGTCCCCTTCCTGCGGGGAGGATTTGTCATCGTCATCTTCAAACCTGATGTGAGTATTCTTCGGTCCCTTATCTCTGTCATGTCTACTCCTTCTCTCAGTGGAGCGGGCAGGGGAATTAAATCGTCGTCGTTTATTGGTTCCTTTCTCGTAGCTGTCTGACCTATTTCTGTTTTCTAGCACATTGTCGAGGTACCTTTCACTGTCAGGCCTTGCTGATCTGGTGTTTGACCTGGTTACTTCCCCTGGGGTCCTGAACACAGTGTCTGTATGTGAGTCCAATTTCTCCTGAGGTTTTTCTTTGTTCTTGTTTTCCTGGGTATTTTTCATTTCCCTTTCATTATACGATGTCTTGCTCTCCATGTTCTTGCTACTTCTATCTCTAAAGCTGTCCTTTCTCAGATTGTTTCTTTGAGGATTCCTCCTGTCCCACCTATTTTGGTCTCTGAATGAGTACTCATTTTGAAATCCATGGTAGTCCTCACCCCATCCCCAAGTTTTTTCAGGAAATCCTGAAGCATTCATTAATTCATAAGGAAAGTTTGGATCAAAGTTATGATTATTATGATGTAAATTATACTGATTCTTTTTACTGCCTGGACCCACATTACCTCTCATTCCTCTTCTATCTATTCCCCAACCATTGCCTTCAAAGTGACCCTGCATGTTGAATTGTACATCACCATAACCCTGCTGTTGGTAGTTCTGGGTAGAAAATTCATTATTCGGTGGAAATCCCATATTCATATCCCACTGATTGTGTTGCATATTCCCATAATTCCCGTTCCACTGAGTCCATGAGGGGTCTTGAAAATTGTTTGCTCTGGAATCTAGCTGGGAATCATCATTATATGACTGGCGCTCCCAATGAGGATTCATAACCCTCTGGCCGATGTTTTGTCCGGGGAGGGAGAAGGACCTCTGGTGACCACCTCCTGACCCCCACCTCCTCTGGTTCGTTCTTTCACTGCGACGCTTTCCCACAGCATTGTTTCTGTTGGATTCTGAGTCGTCAGATACATTGCTACCTCCTTTATTTTTTGCTTGATTAATTTTCTGTCTGTTTCTTTGCTTAGTTTTCTCCTGCTCCTCTTTTTCCCTGGAAAAAAGACAAAATTATATCAATTCAATCTACAGAATTGATAATGTTCATTTCACAATAATCAAACACATTACAACTGATTTCTATCACAGGTCTGTTACAGCTTTGAATTTCTTGTAGATTTCTGCCATTAATAGGACAAGGAAAATCCCATACAAATTTTACACTGTATTTTTTCCGTACCTGATTCTGGCCATGAGGACATCTTTCCCCATCAGTAGGTCCTCCTCTTCTCTCTGTCTCCGGCTGTCCTCCATGGCTCGTTTATGCTTCTCCTCATTCAAGTGTTTCCCGTACTCTATTATGTTTGCACACGTCATGAAACACAATGTGCAGTTGTGGACACTCCCTCTACAATATCATTTATTTCTTTACTTCAAAGTTCCATAAAAGAAAAATCAATTTTCCAGAGTTTTTGGTATAAAATATGTGTGCTTTTCATCAAGGACATTAAAAATAAAATTGAAATTGACAATTTGTAAAAGGATGGAAATTATTACTGGTAGACGAAAATAATTTAAGTCTAAAAGTTTTCCTTTGACATTCAATATAATATGAAATGTTATCCAGATCTACTTACTTTTTTTGTTTTTCCATTTTAATATGATGCATTAAGGACCAGTGATGATCCCTGAGTTCCTACAACAATCAAAATATATGTATTATATATTCATTATATCCTGTTTAGCATGTAATGAGCATCACTGGACACAACAAATAAAGATGCTTCTCCTCATATTCTTACCCTACATACAAACATGTTCCAACTGTTGTAAAATATCAAAATTTGTGATTTAAATATTTACCGCATCAGTCGTGTAGGAGACGTGACACACATCACATTCATGTGCTTCTCTCTCCTCTTGACTGTCCAAATCCATGGATACATCGGTTAAGTCAACATCAGCCATTTTACTGGTGGTACCTAAAAACAGAGGAAAAGGGGCATTTGTAACCTTTCTAACTAATAATCAATAGAGTACTGATATATTATATATCACAACCTGACAGTCTCAGCTTTCCTACAGTCTGTGAAGATAATCTTGTTTTTACTCTAATTATAAGTACTAAGTACAGTATTTATTAGAAAATTAATTTTCTCCTCTATGGCAGCTTACCAAATGAGTGATTTGTTTGTGTTTTCATATATCTAATTAACTAATGAAAGAAGCAATTTATTAATTGATTCTAAATGTTCAACTCAATACTTAATAATGAATCTTTTGTATGGTGCTTTGCTGTGACACCTCATTAATCAATAACAAACATGTCCAGTGAGAGCCATCTTAACAATGATCTTTACAATTATTAAACAGAATGTAAAAATGATACATTTAAGTTTTAAAATTATCAAATAATTTTTTAACTAAGTTTTCCTTCAATATACACGAACTGTATTTAGTAATTACACTATTCAAAGATCAAATACAGTTCTTTATTAAGTTAAATGCGTTTTCCTCAAAATACAGTTTCTTAATCAGTCAATGGTAATATAGTCTATCAACTTGAATACTTTTTTTCATAAATGATTTATGTCTTTGCTTAAAGAAAACTTTTCAGATTAGTGAACTGTACAGCAGCACTTGATCTAATTGGCAGTGCTCATCTGTGCACCCGATTACGTTACCGTTAGGATTACGGAACAAGTTTGTGCAGGTGAGACTTAAAAATAGGGTCATAAAATAGGCATCACATGTCCTTTATTTTCACTTCAAAACAACAGTTTAGATGGATATCTCATTGATCTTAAATGCATGATGTGTATATTGTAAGTTACCTTTGCGTTACACTTGAATAGCCCTTTAAATCAATTAGTGTATAACACATGCTACTTTGTTTTCGCCGCCATGTTCTTTCCATAGTTAAGTTGATCAAAAACGTATTCGTTCGAGGAAATGCAAAAATTAATCAATACATTTTACATTACAGCGAATTACGAAATAGTGGTAAAGTTTTCAATAGTTTGCTGGATAGAATTTGGTCTAACAAGTATCACATTAGGTTTGAATCTAGGTCATGAGGTTACTCAAGTGTATCATTAGTTTTTACAGGTAAATGTGAGTTGATTTCAATGTTGTATGAAGCCACATGTATCTGCCCATGTGTTCTGCTGTAAATAAATGCATTATTCTTTAATTGCAAATATTTTTTTCAGTAGAATTTTATGCCAACTCTTTCAGTAGTGCATAAATCTTCTGCATACTGTACTTTCTACTTGCTTTAAAGTCTTGTCACTTCCCGAAACAAACACCTTTTTAATCTATGTTCGTGACCTGCAAGCAATTCCAGTTTAAAGGGTAATTTTTTCTTTAGGACAAAAATTTCATTCTTGTCAATAAACATCACCAACAGCACCATGTGCTTTAGATTAAACTGTTAAAAATTGCTCAATCCTGCATCCGAATATTTCCAAAACTGTGAATACACTACTTGTTGTACTCTTCAAAATCTCATCACCCGTGGTAATTTGGTTAGATTTTATAATCTTGTTAGATTAATTTTAAAAGCTTTTAAAAAAGTATTTGAAAACCAAATACAAGAGAAAATATTGGGGAGGTTGAGAATGGAGGGATTAAACTGTAATTATGCAAAAAGTTGCAAATTTGAACTGTTGGGGCCCATTTTAAGAAGGAACTTAGTTCTAGACTCTCATCACTGAGTAATTTTGTGAGATTAATTGCTTTATAAAATTATCTTTCTAATTTTTAAAAAGTATAAAATAAGAATTTAATTAAACGATGTAAAGAATAAAATGAATTGCAAAACACTTAGCTTAAAAGATTTTCATAGAGTTACTGAATAAAGAAATTTACTTGGTTTAGAGATGCTGATAATTAATAAATTCAATATGATTATAAAATAGGTGTTATCTATATTACTATCATATTTATGTGTTTATTTATAATCAATGAGTTGAGAGAGAATTGGAGTGGGAAGCTTACTTCCTAACCTTGTTAGACAATAACTTTTATGAGAAGGGGGGATATGTCATTCTTTAATTCTGCAAATTTATTGAAAAAATTGCAATTAAAGAAGAATAATGCACTTATTTACAGCAGAATACATTGACATATACACGTGGCTTCATAGAACATTGAAATTAACTCACATTTACCTGTAAAAAATTAATGATACACCTGAGTAACCTCATGACCTAGATTCAGACCTAATGTGATACTTGTTAGACCAAATTCTATACCCTATTGAGCTATCCAGCGAGCTATTGAAAACTTTACCACTATTTCGTAATTCGCTGTAATAATGCGGTAAATCATAGTCGTGAAACACTTTTTATAAAATTCTATTTTGATTGCGTAATGCACATGTGGAAAATATTAAAAGGGGTGGAAATATATGTGTGTGTTTTAGATATTACAAGAGGCCCATGGGCAACATCGCTCACCTGAACATTTAGCCAGAATTAAAGCAAAAATCAATTTAGTATTGGAAAGTTTTAATGCATTTGTGGTCCCGACTTTACCGGCGATAAGATTTAAAAGAAATTGAATCCACACTAACTAAGGATGCTTACCAGGTACATATTTTATTTCGACTTATTACTGACTTTTCCCCCCACAAGTTTGAACTTTCATTGAGGCCCACTCTACCCAAGTGGGGTCATGATTTGAACAAACCTGAATCTACAATATATGAGAATGCTTCCGTCTAAATATGACCTACCATATGACTTTGTTGTTCTTGAGAAGAGCATTTTTTAAATATTTTCCTTTATATACCTTTGTAAAACTTTGATCCCCACCATCCTTGGGGGTTAATATTTAGAATAAACTTGAATCTACACCACCCGTGAATGCTTCCCTATAAATGTAATTGATCATAGCTTCGCACAGTTCTTGAGTAGATTTTTTAAAGATTTTCCCTATACCCGATATACTCCGGCCAATGTTAAACTTTATTGTCCATTGTGGCCCCACGTACGTACATTATCCCTGAGGGTCGTGATTTGAACAAATTTGAATCTACACCACCGAGTAAGCTTTCACATAAATGTGACAAATCATGGCTTTTAGCCGTTCTTTAAAAGAAGAATTTTAAAGATTATTCCTATATATTTCTATGTAAATCTTGTGACATAACAATACCCCGGGGGTCATGATTTGAACAAACTTGGATAATCCTATGTAAAACTTTGATCATCCATTGTGGCGACACCCTTCCTCAATCTGATTAAAGGATCTGATTTTAATCAGATTGCATCCTTCTCCTAGGTGATTTAAACAAAATTTGAATCTACACCACCCCAGAATGCTGACAATATAAATATGAACAATCATAGCTCGGCGATTCTTGAGAAGACGATTTCTTAAGATTGTTTCTATATAGAAGCCATTATTTTTTCAATATTTCATAATTACATATATCTCTCCTTGGAAGAGGGCGTAGTCCTTCATTTGAAAAAAATGAAACCCCTTCACCTAAGGATACTTTATGGCAAGTTTGGTTGAAAAAAGTGGTTCTTGAGAAGAATATGAAAATGTAAAAAGTTTTCGATGACAACAACGACAGCGACGACAGACAGCGGACAAATTTTGATAAGAGCTCACTTGAGGCTCCGACTCAGTTTAACTATAAAGTCTCTAGTACATGTATAATACAATACAAATTCGTGAAGAGGGCATAAAACGGACTTCTGTATATTCCAGAGGTGGGATTAGGTGCTTCGTAGGTACGTGAGCATTCCCTGTCATCCGCCCTGTGTATGATCCGGTAAACCCCCTCCCCCCGTCAAAAGTTCCTGTACCGGCTTTTGACAAGGTATCAGTATGAAAGTAGAAGATTTTTCCAATTAATATCAATAATAGTTCAAAACAAAGACCCTTGCAAAATAAAATAGGTAATTACTTAATGATTATATAAATCTTACATACATATAAAGATTTTATGTTGGTTTGAAATCTACGTCCGCGCGGGCATTGTCAAAATTAAGATAAAGCTGATTTATCATTGAGATAAGACACTAGGCTACAGAATTCCATGAAATATCTCAGAGTCACCATGTTTTCTAGTTCGACTTTCTTAATTCTTTTTGTTGCAGGAACCGCCCTAGGATGCGGACCACCGGGGACGACCCGTGGGGGATTTTGTCCGATCGATGCCAACGACCCGGTTGTTCAGGAAATGGCCCAGTTTGCCGTGAAAACACACGCTGAAAAGACGAATGCCATCAACAGTGGGGCGATCACAGTCAGTCATGCATCGTCACAGGTAGGAAGCTAGTAAGATATCAGATTTATTGATCTCAAATGGAAAAATAACAGCAGAAATTGAATGAACACTCCTACGAATTACGAACGTATTTCGAGAGTGTTCGAGTAGACTGCGTAGGAATATTCAATACGTTATAAGTGAGATTAATCGCCAAGATTTCCTTTACATTCCACCTACCTCCTCTCAGGAAATTTTTCCAAACAAAATATTTATATGATTTTTTTTTATAATTTGGAAATAGGTTGTGTCTGGATACAACTATATGATGACAGTCACGACCAGCTTCAATGGTCAGGTAATGTTGTAAACTCTTTCCTGTTTATATCTTTCTTCTTAATCAATTCCTCTACTCATCACACCTGGAGTATAGTGGTAGTAGTAAATGTAACCATTAGTATTTTAACAGTATTTTTGTATTCAGGAGAAGATATTTTTTTATTTATTAGATTACCGAGTGTCATTTCGTGGTGTACGATCAGTCTTGGACAAATACGCGGGAACTGACTACTGATGAGTGTCACGTGATCCACGACCAACATGTCCAGGAAGGACGTCAAATGTTATTAAATCTACTTTATAAATAAATCTTAAGATTGCGATGGGCGATCAGCTAGAGAGCTAGATTGCGACCCATTGAAAAAAAAGGTATAATTATATTATACTTTTCTCTTCTCTTTGAGAAATTAAAGTGATGGATAATGACCACCTGAAACTTTTCAGTTTGAACCCTTTTATAGATATTTCCTCTCTTTCAGGTCTGTAGACTGAGGGGGGAGGGGGGAGAACCCCCCCCCCCCCCATTTTACAGATATAACCTTTATACTAAACTTTTTACCAGAAAAAATGTACCTGGAAATTCCGGTTACCTCCCCACCCACTTTTATTGCAGCATAGTCAAATATAGTCAGATAAGGGTAATGCTGTGTGTTTGAGTGAAAATATTTGCTACTGCTCTGGAATTCCCCCCCCCCCCAATACACACTCACGAAATAGGATTATCAAGATTGGGGTTTTTTTTCGCTTTACAGTTTATTTTTATAATTTGTACTTAAAGCTTGTAATCAAATTAAGATAAAACTACGTACTAATAGAATGATTTCCCACGATCAAAGTTGTTGTAATAGATCAAAATCATCAAAGAAACTGTGCGGGATGATTGTCAACAAAGAAAGTTGGAAGGGGGGGGGGGAGAGAGAGAGACCCGATCTTATTTTTGTTCAGCAGGCACCTACGTTAAATTATGTCCGAAGTCCGTTCTACGCGATTTTCTTATTCCCAAGATAAATTCATATCTGGGTCAATATAAAAAAAAAGCAGCTAAACGTGTCACTTCTTTGTAAAATCCTATTTCTTCTTTTCTCCCAATTTTGGATTGTTGCTTTACAATGTATGACATCTATACTTTCTATTTACTAATAAAATTTTTACATAATTAGTTTCATTAAAGTCAATGGAAGTAGTATAAGGATCCTAGCTAGGGGAGGATTCTGATTGGCTGAGAGAAATCACCTGATCAATTCTGATTGGTGGAGGGGATAAATGTGTCAACTGAGTGGAGTGCTAACCCTAACCCCTAGCCCCCTAACCCTAACCCTAACCCTAACCCTAACTAACCCTAACTAACCCTAACCCCCTACCCTAACTAACCCTAACCCTAACTAACCCTATCCCCCTAACCCTAACTAACCCTAACCCTAACTAACCCTAACCCCCTTAGCCCTAACCCCCTAGCCCTAACTAACCCTAACCCTAACCCCCTAACTAACCCTAACCTATTCCCTTAAATACGGGGCGCTTACATTGTGTTTTTTTTTTACATGGGTACGTAGGTACTACGTTTTTTGTTTTTTATGCTGACTATACAGGTAAAAATGCGCCGTGTGCAAAACATTTCAAGAATGTGATTATGACGTCACGCATTCACAGTCTAGACAGTCCTATAACCGGTTTGAACTGGTTTTAGTGAAAACAAGAACACACACAATACAGATTAGAACACAGCAATTTTATTCACAATGAAAAATACAAAAAATGATTTTAATTTCCACTGTATCGGCATAAGGGGCATTTCTTGTAGGAAGTCTCAAAGAGTTTCTTCACACACTTTTCACAACACGGATATTGCCTGCATTGTCCGCATTTCCATTTCCCTTGAGTCTTTTCCTCGTAGCACATCATACATTCTTTCAAGGGTCTGTTCCTGGTCATTTTCATCCATCGGGGAGGCGGTATGTTCTCAATTCCCTTCTTCCAGATGAAATATTTAATGCACCAGCTACAGGCACAAGCCCCCCTTAGCCCTAACTAACCCTAACCGTAACCCCCTAACCCTAACTAACCCTATCCCCCCTTAGCCCTAACTAACCCTAACCCTAACTAACCCTAACCCCCTTAGCCCTAACTAACCCTAGCCCTAACTAACCCTAACCCTAACCCTAACCCCCTAACTAACCCTAACCTATTCCCTTAAATACTGGAGTTGTTTACACAGTGTTTTTACATTGGTACGTAGGTACTACTTTTTTTTTTTTTTTTGCTGACTACACAGGTAAATACTTGGCAGCGATTCAAGTCAGGGGACCGTGTGTAAAAAATATGCTGACTATACAGGTAAATACTTGGCAGCGATTCAAGTTTATACCGTGTGCAAAAAATATGCTGACTACACAGGTAAATACTTGGCAGCGATTCAAGTTTGTTTAGGACCGTGTGCAAAAAATATGCTGACTACACAGGTAAATACTTGGCAGCGAGCCAAGTTTGTTTAGAGCCGTGTGCAAAAAAAAATATGCTGACTACACAGGTAAATACTTGGCACCGATTCAAGTTTGTTTAGGACCGTGTGCAAAAAATATGCTGACTACACAGGTAAATACTTGGCAGCGATTCAAGTTTGTTTAGGGCCGTGTGCAAAAAAAATATGCTTACCTATGCATTGTGACGTCATCCATGTCAGCGAGCTACCCTATACATTATGACGTCATACACTTGTAAAATTAAAGTAAATTAAAGTTTCATTTTCACTTTTGTTTCTAAGAAGTCAACTTAGATTTTCAAAAAATGTAAGACTAACTTTTGTTTTTCCTCTGTTTTACTTTGATGATTGTTATGTTATGAAGCTTTTCTTGTATAAAGCTCAATTTTTCCATGACCACGGAAGTAAACATCCTGATGCATTCTTGTCATGTGAATGTTGAGAGCGTGTTCATTTTTTGAAATCTCCTTTCTGACAGACATATTCCACAGGTAAGTTTGTCTTATTTTTGTTTACATTTCCTATCAAGATCATCTAAATGCATTTAATCATAATTATGTAAGTTCTGTTTTGAATGTAAATGCTGTATTTATCCTCATTTCATGTGATTTACACTTGTACATGTATAACCTGCATGTAACTCAGAGTGCATTTAATATTTCTATGATGGATCATTCTATGATTGAATTTCAATCAGAAAAATATTCACTTAATTTTGGTAAAATACATGGTATCTTTTACATTTCTGTCCCTTTTGTCTGTAAATTATTGCTTTACTTACATTGTAAAATGAGGTTAATTGTGTATCACTGAATTGTATGATTTTTTTTCAGGATCAGCTGAGATGTTATTTCACTGGATTATTTAATGGATAGACTTATTGGGCATATATTTGGATATCTCTGGTAAGTTTATCTTGTTTTTTAGATTGTTTACATTTCCTATGATGGCCATCTTTGCATTTAACCATGATTATATGGTTAATTTTATTACTGTATAATACTTATGTGATCTGATATCTCTAACTTACATTCATATAAGCACACCCTTATTTAACCTAAAATATATTAACACATGATTAAGGGATCTTCAGAATATTAATAAGTCCTTTTGTATAAATTATATAATAATTTCATAATTCATTATGTATGTTACATGGCCATGGAATTCAGACTCACTAAATGGTGATCAAAGAGATATTAATTAGGAATCTAATAAGAGAAAAGGAGGAATTTACAAAAGATTAATCCTAAGTTATTTACTTTTTGTTTTGATTCTAAATATGTGCTATATATGGCATACATATATTTTCATTTTCACTTTTGTTTCTTAAGCTTTTCAAAAAAAAAATGAAGGACTACATGTTGTACTGTGATGATGTAAAAAAAAAATAAAAATGTATTTTTCTGTATGCATTACTGATAGCTATTAAACCAATATTGAATCTGTTGTTAATAAAAAAATCTTTTAGTGTCTAAATAATTAATTTGATAATCATTTTATTTTGTGGTATTAATACATTAGTTGTGCTTGTTTATTATCTATAAATAACATGATGAACTTTTCTCATCTCGAGTTAATGTTAAAAACAATTAGTTTTGAGTCTAAAAACAAATATTTTCATGATCTTTTTTTTGACATTGTACATGTTGTATTTAAACATGCATTGTTTCATACAGTACTCTGTCATATTTAAAAAAAATGCTTTTATTTCTACAGTCATCAACATGGAATGTATGACTTCATCTTTTATACAGTCGGGTTCGGGGTTTCGGGCGGCCATGACGAATTTCGGCAAGATTTTACCCCAGTGAAAAAGGCTTGTAATCCACAGTGTAGGTCTTTTACAGTTGTTTCACATTGTTTATGATTGTGATTATGTTATCACTCACCTATATGTTTAATGTTAGCTATGCTAAATAACCCATTTCTGTGTAATTTGAGAGAATGTTTTTGTCATGTGCTTAAAGTATGGCCTGCTATTCATGTCATCATTTAAAGTCGCTTCTCAAATAAATCTGTCTTAAAAAATACATTTTACAAATGACATTTAATATGATTAGAGTATAGGTATCCAAATATATAAGAGATATTATTTTGCATTACATTTACAAGAGGCATTGTCTCATGTAATTTAAATCATAATAACAAAAATGGAATTTATTTTTCTATACAGTCCTCAACCTGGAAGATATGTTTTGTTCCTAACCATCTATAATCCATTCTCTATGAAGTGAAGCCTGGCTGCTCTTCCTTTGGAAATACACAGTTAGTCAATCAACATAGAAACACACAAACTTGAAGGTAAAGTTTCAATGAGATACAATTGTAACTTTTATTTATTTATTTATTTTTTTTTTGTTACATATGCATGTTTATATTTTTGAATTGATAAATAAATGATATATTTAAATAAAGAGGGCTTGGTGGTCATGGTCATGTTTAAACCATATTGATATCCTTCACAAGAAAAGGCATAAAAATTCATGATCAAATTTTAAAACTAAAATGTATGAAGTTTTTCTGTGCCAAATGATAGTTAACAGCTAAAGATAGCATATCTATAGAATAAGTTAAATATGGCTAATTTGTTAACCCCCAGTTTCCTTAATAGCATAGTTGGTAAAGATAGCAAGTTTTCACTTCAATTGCTGGTGAATTCTGAATTTTCCATTTAATATTAACATTATATCACAGGGAAAGAATACTATAATGTGGTTCATTAGGATGACCAGAAAAGAAATCTTAATGACCCTTATGACTATGTATAAAGTCTGTAACCTTATAACTGATGTAAGATGACCTGATTGTTTGGAATTAAAATTTCCTGGTGTTTCTATTACCCAAGATCTTCTTATGAGTGCATGGGACTGTTGTAACCCTTCTCCTGTTTATAAAAATAATACCTTGGAGCATGACACTTTATTCATTTAAGGTACTTTCAATATCATTTCTATGAGTTTGTGTTCTTTTTCTTTTTAATAATCTAGTGTTATATCTTCTTTACCCTAATTAATATGCATGCTTCCAAAATCATTATAGATCTGTCTGTATAGTTTTTTCAGCTCTTTGAACACAAATACCCTGATTCAAACTTTTGAGGTAAACATCATGGAGACATCATAAATGATTATCAGAGTGTATATATCACAATCTTGACCATAAGGTCAATTAAAATGGTCAAAAGCACAACAAATGAAAGTGAAAACTTTCTTATCAGAATACATAATTTTGTAATATTAATTCTTACCTTCTTTTGGTAATAAATGGTTATATTCTTCATTAGCTTCTTCTGCAATCAAGGATCTTTCTATGTAATCTCTGACAACATTAGGATCACCCTTTTCTGGACATAATTGGTTATATTCTTCTTGAGAAATGATCTCAATAATGCTATCTTTTTTTTATTTTAACTGGTATACCTCTGTCTACATCTTTCTCTGAAAGAACTCTCTTTTCAAACTGAATTTTACTCATTCCTTTACTCTTTTCTTTACTGGAGGTGTTACCCATGGTTAATATGAAAAGTCAAAATCTGATGTTACACCTTGTATTTATACCCTTTTTTGTCTATATTTAGAATTCCATCAAGCTTATATTACATAACAAATTTTTTTTTTTCAACTAAGACATTATTTTTATTTTCCAGGATATTCTAGTGAGGGCTTGTGGAAATGATCTATGTCTACTCTCAGAATGGTGAAAGACTATCAGATTATGCAAAGACTAACAGGATATCCTCTCTTGGAACACTGAAATAAGAAAATCAAACAGGAGGTGGATGGAGGATTTAAGAAGCACAGGTGAAAGACTATCAGATTATGCAAAGACTAACAGAATATCCTCTCTTAAAACACTGAAACAAGAAAATCAAACAGGATGGAGGATTTAAGAAGCACATACCGTAATTCGGGGAGTATATATTTTTTTCTAAAATAAATTTCTGTGAGAAAGGTATGCGTATTATACATCACAATGGGATTTGACCAGGTTTTTTTCGTCCAGGTGAAACTGCAGGATTAGTATGAACCACAGACATAGCCTATATATAGATCGCTTTATTGCTGCTTACCGTTATATTTAACCCTTAGGAAATTATTGTTGGGTCGTATGATTGTAGAAATTGATGCATATCTAAAGTATTTATAGATAAATTATTTTAAAATAACCAGTTAAAATGTATTTGAGCTGTCTATTCATCATCTCTCCGTGTCTGCCGCCATTATGCCGCCATTACAGCTGTTTTTAATAGAGGTGTACATGATCCGGGCCTTAGCCACATTTTCGTAATCAACCTAATCAATCATTAATTTCAATGGATAGAATAATATATAATCGCTTGTAATAAAATACATTACCAATTTATTTTAATAAATCTTTGGAGATTCATTTCACCTGAATTTACACTTTTATCTAGCTTGCTCCACCTCTAGCTTTCCATGTTTACGTAACAATTAAAGTTTATTGTTGTAGACACCTGTGCTTTGACCTCGATGATTATGACATCCCCTAGGGCGTAAACAGCTTGTAAAGAAATCAAAAGTTTTTTTTCAATCATTTTATTAAGTTAAAACAAATCATAACGAGCATCAGAGACATGAATATATATATAAATGTATGTGGGACACAAAGACATTGTAATAAAATTATTAAAAATTATTTTCACACGCACTGATAATAATTTATCAATAATAGAGGTTTTTTTTTTGAAAGCATTAATATACATAGATGTTTCTATGTTCACACATAAAATTTCGTCTTTCACTTCACTTTCAAATATTTTTGACATAAAGACAAAAAATAAAGACATGACTGTACAACAACATGCAAGTTAAACAATCAAATTAAAAAATAATAACTACAGTTCTTCGAACTTTCAACACATACTAATTTAAGCACCGTTTAAAAGCACTGATCAATGTTCACCACAAGTCACAGTCACTTAGAATCCCTCAAATTCCTCGTCCTCGTCGTCACTCTCGAATATCTTGTAAATGTCTCTGAGTACGGAAAGGGGGGTGTCATCATCACTATCGTCGTCGTACACGATGTCGTTGCGGTCGGCATCCTCTACATCACACTCATCAGCTGATCTGCATGGAACATCTTCCCAAAGAATATCGTCCTCGGATCCATCTAAGGCGTTGGAAATGCAGCACTTCTTAAAGGAACGGACGATGATCTGTGGATCGAGTTCATCCCACGCTTCTTTGATCCATGCACAGATGGTGTTCAGCTCGGGTTTTCGCATGCGCCCCTGGTTGGTGTACGTGTGTTCGTCGCTGCACATCCACGAATTCCACTTATGTCGCAAAGCAACTTTCATGGGTTTATTTACACTAACGTCCAGTGGTTGTAACACACTATACCTCCAGGTATGATCGCAAGGTCCGTCTGATGTGAATCTCTCAACACAGTCTTCACTGCTGGGGAGCGATGGCACCGGAAAGCGTCCAACACTAAGACACTACGGTTAACACAAGCACCTGGTCGTCGACCCCACACTCTCTCGATCCAGTCCTTGGTAATGTCATCGTCGAACCAGCCGTTTGGATGCACATTCACAATAATTCCCTTGGGAAACTGCAGTTTAGGCATAGTTTTTCTTTTAAACACTACATAGGGCGGCAGCTTTCCTCCGTCGGCAGTGCAAGCTAACATGACGGTGAATCTGTTCTTCTCGTTGCCGGTTGTCTTGATGGACACGGTTGATGCGCCTTTAGGATGGATGGTGGTGTCGGCAGGAAGATCAAAGGTCAATGGCGTTTGATCAGCGTTGCCGATCTGGGACATGCGGTATTGATGTTTCTTCCTCATCTTGATCATGAAGCTCTGGAAGCTGGACAGCTTGTCTTCATAATCGTCAGGCAGTCTCTGGGAAATGTGTGTCCTCCGTCTTATGGATAACTTATGTCTCTTGAGAAACGCATAGCACCAATCCACCGATGCTTTGAAGTCTTGAGCTTTCGGATCTTTCTTGGCGATCTTGAGTGCTTGTAGGCGAAGTTCGGCTGTCGACACACCATACCCCTGTTGTCTGCGATCAGTAACCCACGTGAGTAGTTCAGTCTCTACGGTAGGGAAAAACGCTGTGCGGCCTCTGTCTGCCATCTTGGACTTCGGTAGCTGATGCAGTCTGTCCTTCTGTCGTCGCCAGAGTCGCACGTTTGCCTCGTTGATGGAAAACTCTCTGCCTGCTGCACGGTTTCCATGGGCCTCGGCGTACGCGATAACTTTTAACTTTTCCTTCGCAGTAAACGACTGTCGTACTTTACCCATCTTTATGCAGTGGAAATTCTTAGGGCAATGATTCAATTTTTTATTTCCCTACTGTTACGAATTTTCCCCCATGACCAAAATAACCCACAGATTGGATCACTCCAATTTATGCCCTGAATATTTAATCTATGTATCGTAAATTTATTTGTAGATATCATGGGAATATTACCAATCATCGTATGTCATTAATGTATGCTTTATAATTCATTGTATATGTTTATTTCATGGATATCCTTTCGTTGTAATGTACAAACCCGAATTTCCTCCATATACCAGCCCAATCGTAAAAGCAAATGGCCGTCTGGCATTGTTATTCAATCAAGGTACCCAAATCCATCTTGGCATCGTTACCAAAACAATTCCCAAACATCAGATCATCCCTTTTCCCGCATTTGTAATGATAAAGCCTTCACTTGATGCAAAAGTTGTTTGTGTTACCATACAAACGTCGCGCGAATACTGGCGGTACCGCTGGTTATTCGCACGTGAACTAATTCGGACCTAGTGATGAAAAGGTATATAAAGAAGGCTCTTTGGACTTTTTCTTCAGTCTGGGACGTTGGTCAGACTCATCAACATCTGACCAGCTCTAAGAATCCCAACTCCCCAGAAGTGGGTAAAATCTGATGCCCCTTATTGGGTAAATTAACCCATTACCAATATTTGGTAACCGCCCGGCAGATCCATACCCATTTGATTTGTAACCCAATCTGCCAGGCCCGGCAGATCCGTGCCCAATCCAATCTGCCAATCCCTGGCAGATCCATACCCAACTGATTCATTGATGCCAATCCCGGCAGATCCATACCCAATTGATTCATTGTTTATAAATTCATCCGGGTAACCCGGTAGAGCCGGATACCTTTTTATTGTCGGGTAACCCATAATTTATTATTGCCTAATTGCCAATTATCTTATTGTTATTTGTTATTCATTGTTTGCACCATAATAAATTTTATAAATTTGCAACCTGACTTTTCATTTAGAGTTAAAGGGTAAAATTCAGAAACAGGAGACCCACAATAATTCATTTTCATTGTAACAAACCCTGGAACAGGCGGAAACGTTACAATTTGGTGTCAGAAGTGGGATATTTCATATCTTGTTTTTGTTTACCCCGGAAAAAAAAAAAAACAAAACCATTTCTTGATATTTTTGTAAATTTTTATTACTCCAAATTTTACTTTTGGATACAAATTTTTGTACAATGGAGGCTGATGAAAGCTTTGAAATTACTTTTAAACCACACCCGGTTTCACCCAAAGTTCATGTAAATTCTCATGACCACCCGGATGTCCCAAGTCACAATTCCTTGCCGGCATCAAATTCAATGCTACATGTACCTACAAGAGATAATCAACTTGATGTTATTCTCTCAATGTTGCATGATATGAAATCAAAATTTGAACAAGATAGTCATGAAATGAGAATGAAATTTCAGCATGTTGAAAAACAAAATGAAATCTTGCAAAGAGATAATGCTGAACTTAGAAAGTTATATAATGACAGGGGAGACAATCATCACAGTCCCAGTTCCCCGTCACATACAACCCAATCCCGAACCAACAATGAAAAATTACAAAATGGTGTTGGAAAATCATATGTACCATACCCATCACTTAACCCAGACATGATGATCCCTAGTTCATACCTTGCCGTGAGGAAGCCTTCCAAATCGTATGATGTACTTCCGGACATTGATCCTGGACATTTCACAATGACGCTGGATTCGTAATACACGGACGTGCACTGAACCTTTTGGATATTTCAAAGGACTATATCGTATAACTTTGTGAACTTTATGATAATTGTGAATATTCGTGATGTGGATCGAGATCTGTGATTTGTATCCGTCGTGACTTTTCTATTCCAATGGATCCAGGATTGGTAAGAAGTGATGAACTGTGATGAACAAAAACATTTTGGTAAAACTTAATGTGTTGATAATTGATGAACTGTTAATCATATTATTATTATTCATAACTTTGATTATAACTTGTTGACCACATTGTAATTATTGATATTTATGCATTATTGTGGCCCATGATTATGTTTATTGCAAATGTTACTCTCCATGACAATATTCCCATGAAATATGGTCCAAAAATGAGATTTGATAAAACAATCCGACATTCGGGACGAATGTTTTCATGGAGGGGGAGCTCTGTTAATGACCAAAATAACCCACAGATTGGATCAACCCAATTTATGCCCTGAATATTTAATCTATGTATCGTAAATTTATTTGTAGATATCATGGGAATATTACCAATCATCGTATGTCATTAATGTATGCTTTATAATTCATTGTATATGTTTATTTCATGGATATCCTTTCGTTGTAATGTACAAACCCGAATTTCCTCCATATACCAGCCCAATCGTAGTAGCAAATGGCCGTCTGGCATTGTTATTCAATCAAGGTACCCAAATCCATCTTGGCATCGTTACCAAAACAATTCCCAAACATCAGATCATCCCTTTTCCCGCATTTGTAATGATAAAGCCTTCACTTGATGCAAAAGTTGTTTGTGTTACCATACAAACGTCGCGCGAATACTGGCGGTACCGCTGGTTATTCGCACGTGAACTAATTCGGCCCTAGTGATGAAAAGGT